GTGAATATAAACAGCGAACACCAACCTTTTTGTAATATGTATTTTTGCTGATATTCTTTGTCTGAAGTAAGTGAAGTAAAGTTTAAAGGATTATTGGGACAGGAGTGGGTCAATGTATGAGGGTAAATATTAAAAATTTCTCATCCTCGGAAGATATTTTGAAAAAAAAAAACATTGGTCATTGATATGACACGAGGATTACGGAAAGAGAGATAAGCTATATGGTCACTTGGCTTAATATATATATATATATATATATATATATATATATATATATATATATATATATATATATGAGACAAGAAGGAAACGATATCTATGAAAGAAAGATACAAGAGACAAGAGAAGAGAGAAGAGAGAGAGAGAGGAAGAATTAAGAAAAGTGTTTGGTTGATGAAAATGTGAGATGATGTGACATACTTAAAGAAAAAAATCGAAGAAAGAACCAAGGAAGAATGATAAGAAACCATTCTTTTTAATGAAGGGCAGCTGTTAACGAAAGACGCATATGACAAATAGACGCCATTGCATTTTCATCGGAGACCTTCCTTCCCTTTCTTTTGCGTTCTATATTCTATCTTCCATTGATCCTTTTCCCAGTTTCTATTTATTTTTTTTATTTTTAAATCAAACTGACCGCTCGCGAAGCTCTTCAAATTATCATTGTTGGCGACCAAGCAGAGACACTATTTTCCGCGTCTTTATTCCGGAAAGAGACAGACCCCACATAGAGTAGCACATTTAAGTAAGAACTAGCTTGCGACCAAGCTACCTATCAATCCCAAACCGACAAATTAACCGCCATCGTCCACCCAAAGTCTCATTTTACATGTTGCGTAAGACAACAAGGCGTTAACGCCGTCCTTATGCATTTCTTTATGGCGACTTGCATGAGGTTAAAGATGGCGGTATTGAGTTCAGATTTGGGGTCGCGAACCTTTGAGAAAAGCACACATTGTCCGAGGATGACGGCCTTCTCGCTGGTTTTTCCATTTTTGGAGGAGCGAATGAAACAGTCGCGGATTGGGGTCAAAAGAGCTCAAGTTAGCGAATGTTAGAGAAGGCTGGATGATGCTAGGGGTCTGGAGAATAGAGAGGGGTAGAGGAGAATGTCAGTCGAGGTACGGAGCGAACGGGGAAAATGAGTTGCCGTGTGTTCATGGCATTTCTTGTTTAGAAGGCGCTCAGGAGGCAAACGACGGTCACTGAGAGATTGCCACGTCAAAAGAATGGCGCGAAATTATTGGAGAAGAAGGAATGAGAAAAGGAAAAAAAAGGAAAAAACGAAATCTGTAAGGAATGAGAAAAAAGATTAAAATTAATCTGTCTATAAAAATGGCGTTGGTAGGGTTTGAAGCAAATAACCAAAATTTGTCATGGAGATTTTTCTAAAAGAAATCTATTATTTTGAATCTTTAGAACGTTATGTTAGAATTATTTATTTTGTTTAAATATTATCTTGGGATTTAAAACTTCAGAAACCCACTTGTCAAATTTTGCTGCCTTCTTAACTTTTTCTTTCATAGCCTTTTATTCCTTTCACTTCCATCCATTTGTACATCTCGTCCACTTCTCTGATCAGCTCACGTTTTATTTCGTTTTTTTTTCTTCTCTCTCTCGCTTACTCTCACTAAATCGTTTCATGGCTGGTTTTCTTTCGAATATGCTGTTCTACAATCAGTCTCTTTATCCTAATCACTGCACAATAGACTATTTAATTAATGCTGAACGACCAACATTATTGTTATTATTTTATTACTAATTTTAAACTTCGTCCTGGGTAAGACGTTAAATTACATCCGCATCCTGGATAAGACGTTAAACTACATCCGCGTCCTGGGTAAGACGTTAAACTACGTCCAGCAACAAGGCCTCTGATCAGGAGGTTTTGAGGAGCATGGGACCACCTCTTAATTGCTGGTGTTCCCAGGTCCACCCTGACCAGGGGTGGTAGCACCTGTTAGGGTCCCAGCTATGGACAAATAGTTAACTATTGCCAGCAATAATTTTTTGAAAAAATTATTACCAGCAATACAATTTTGAAGGAAATATATTACCAGAAACAGATTTTTGACAAAACAAAATATTACCAGGAATAAAATTTTTGTCAGCATTAAATAACGCATTGTGGTTGATATGCCGTTAAACAAAATAAACCAAAACAATCTAAACCAATGAATACATACTCTATTCATACGAATTTATCCTAAAAATTTTCACACTCTCATACATACACTCTCACTAAATTTAATTTTTTATTCTCGGGTTTATTTTTTCTGTTTTCTTTTGGAATTTGTAGGTCTGATGAATTGGATCGTATTTACGATTCCAATGAAATAAATAATGACCATGGGATATTAGTGTTTGAACCTTTTTATTATATCCTTACTCTGTCCTGGACATTGAGTTCTACCTGGATTCTATCCTCTTGGAATTATTTTTTATACAAATATATATGTATGTGTATGTATGTATGTATATTTAGATATTTTAGATATATGATTGCATGTGTATGTGTATATTTACCACTAATATTATCAATATATATATTTATTTATATATATAATAGCTGGACACTTGTATTCGAGGATACCCGTTTACTAGGACGGCTAGCCAATCCCTATTGCTGAGGCTCGCTCAGGCACATTTGTGTTTGTTCAACACCCACAGAGCCCAGCTGTGGTTTATACTGCAACTATACTGAGCAGACCTCAGTTACAGTTTCTGGGAGAGACCGTGTTATCAAGCGTGATCAACAATTTGAACAAAGCCAGTACACTCAAACCCTCGGTCACGATGACTTGTGACTTCGTGCTAGCACAGCTATCGACGGTTCCCAAGTGTTCCGTTTACCCAATTTCACTAACTAGGATTGGTTCAACCCGTGATATGGTTTATATATATATATATATATATATATATATATATATATATATATATATGTGTGTGTGTGTGTGTGTGTGTGTGTGCACATGTGTGTGTGTGTGTGCATGTGTGTGTGTATATATATATATATATATATATATAATAGATCACAAGAAAAGCTAGTTGTAATAAAATAGAGCTCGATGTAAAATAATAGAGCTAAAATTTTTACTAATAATGAACATACATTTTTTTTTAAAACAACCGTTATTTTTTAAAAATTTATGCCTGACAACTGCTTCGAACGGTTAGGAAAAATATATGTCTTTTCTTAAGATAGATAGATAGATAGATAGATAGATAGACTAATACAGGTAGATAGATAGATAGATAGATAGATAGATAGATAGATAGATAGATAGATAGACAGACTAATACAGGTAAACAGATAGATAGATAGATAGATAGATAGATAGATAGATAGATAGATAGATAGATTCAAGGTGATGTCCACCGTGAAATCTTCCGGGACACCTAATGATGAAAGATCTAAGAATTTAACAATCACAGGATCTTTGGAAGGAAAGAACAGCAGCGGCAGCCAACGTATGTCTAACCTAACGGAGTTGAGTGAAAGTGCGAAAAAAATAAGGTTCAAACGATGTCAAAAGTTACTCAGCGCAATAAAAGACTTGAAACTACGGAGAACAATGAACTGGTGCGTCTTGAAAAAAAATGGCACATAAAAGAAGTACTAGCAGACAGAAATCGTTGATATTAGTCCCAAAATTGTATTAGTAAACTGAATTCTTCTAAAATAATAATAATAATAATAAGTACAGCTCACACAATACGAAGAGATCTTAGATGTCTGGTTTGTACCCGGAAGGAAATGTGTGTACAACGGAAATTCAAGGAAGTAATAATGATACTACTGCTACTACTACTATTACTACTACTACTAATAACAATGATAATAATAATAATAATCCTGTTGAAAATACATGTCCGCTGTGAGATTTCGCTAGCCGACAAAAAGTTTGCGATACTAAATAAATTCAAAGATGTCGAGATAGAAATCAGTAGAATGTGGAGTCTGCCGACAAAAGTATTATCTGTTGGCACTGGCACTTTGGGAAAGATATTAAAAGAAGCAAACAAATATGTGGATCACATTTCTAACAACCTTAAAGGGTGTGAATTACAAAAGAAATCATACTCCGGGATAATTCACACATCTTGTGTAGATTTATCTCCATACAGTGACCACGACTGCATATATTCCCTTCTTGATTACATGGCGCCTCATCTGTTTACCTTTTCTGTTTTCTCTTGAAGTCTATGATTGACCCTTGGGCGGGGGGAGGCAAACTCGTAATAGACAAAGCAAAGGCAAAACACAATATTTATACTCAGTTTATACAATCTCTTTTCGGATGATAAATTATATAAATACTGTCCAAATGTTCTTTTTATCCGAGCGTTTTCGGCTATATATTTAGTCATTTTCAAGGATTAAATATTTTAACTGTTAAATAAGAAATAGTTTGTTGTATGTATGTTTTATAAAATGTTTTCATTTTTCAAAACACGGTCAATATATTGTGTCCATGTTCAAAGTTAATATTAAGTGTTTTTTTTTTTGTTTTCATTAATAAGGTTTCATTACTTTTAGCCCTTTTTTTGCATGTATATGATGCTATTATATTAGTGTTGTCAGCAAGTATGTTACGAATAGTAGTGTCCGGTAGGTCTCCATGTATATTTAAATGATATATATATATATATATATATATATATATATATATATATATATATATAGAGAGAGAGAGAGAGATAGAGAAAGAGAGAAAGAGAAGAGCGACAGAGACAACAAACAGGAAGATAGATTTGTTCTCTTAAACCTTTTCTATTATGACCTTCAGTATTATTGTTCATATACACGTTCTGGATTAAATGAATAAGAATTCAACATTTTTTAAGTTAAAGGGAAACAACTGATACAAAAACATCTGGAAGAGGAATGGCACGCGGAACTAGAACCAACTACCCCAGTGGACAAAACAAAGCGTTCAATTCGAAATTTCAATCACCTGAAGATGGCTGGAGCGTACAACAGCCGAAAAGTTGTGAATATGGCAACAATGTAAATAATGTAAAGTGAATGAAGAAAGGACAAAAAGGAACAGAGAAGACAGAATATGGCGATTAACTTTGCATTTAAACACTTGAAGATTGCAGTTGTCAGGGAAGCAACAATTCGGAAGGGAGTTGCACAGATGGGAAGTGCAAGAAAAATTTCTTAAGAGGAGAAGTGGAGGTTGCATTGAGTATATATCAACAGTAAAATGATGGGACTTATATGTCAATTAAGTGACACGTTTCAAGCGGACTACAAATCTATTAGAAGAACAAGGGAGTAACATTAAAAATGTTAGACGTCTGCTTTTCTTTTTAATCAACTCACACCAAGCAAGTAAAATGCAAGAGATGTCCTGAAGTGAAAAATACATTGGATGGAACAAGAAACCTAATACTAAACAGAAAGAAAGAGATAAACCCCTGCATCTGTTCAAAAGATCAGAGAAGAGAGGGTTCATTCATATATATATATATATATATATATATATATATATATCTCATAGGTTAATAGCTCACGCTATATGTATATACATATATATATATATATATATATATATATATATATATATATATATATATATATATATCAGTTGGTTAATAGCTCACGCTATATGTATATATATATATATATATATATATATATATATATATATATATATCAGTTAGTTAATAGCTCACGCTATATGTATATACATATATATATATATATATATATATATATATATATCAGTTGGTTAATAGCTCACGCTATATGTATACATATATATATATATATATATATATATATATATATATCAGTTGATTAATAGCTCACGCTATATGTATATACATATATATATATATATATATATATATATATATATATTGGCTATATATATATATATATATATATATATATATATATATATATATATATATATATATATATATATATATATAAAACATCTGTTCACATTTACCTATCTCAGTCTGTTCATATGTATGCATGTATGTGTGTATGGACGCATGTAAATTTCTATTTATCTATTTAAATCTCTCCCTGTTATGATCTCTCTTTCTCTCTCTCTCTCTCTCTCTCTCTCTATATATATATATATATATATATATATATATATATATATATATATATATATATATCAGTCTTTTCATTATCTATCAATTATCTATCTATCTCGGTTCATATCTATCTATCTATCTATCTATCTATCTATCTATCTCATTCATGATCATTATCTATCTATTTACCTATCTATCTAACTGTCTCCGTCTGTCTGCCTGTCTCTTTATATATATATATATATATATATATATATATATATATATATATATATATATATATATATATATATATAAATCAAATAAATCAAATAGATATTAACAACTATTGGTAAGCAAATAGATATGTACCAGAGTTACCATAAGTTGTAAACATGCCAGTTGTTGATGTGGTTAAACATAGCTATGAAATACTCATCTGTTTTTATCTATCTATCTGCTCATATGTATGAACGTATCTATCACTCTATCTCGCAGTTAATATCTATATACCTATCCTCATCTATCTATCTATCTATCTATCTATCTATCTATCTATCTCCGTCTGTTGATATCTCTCTATTCTCATCTGTTAATTCATCTAGCCTCATCTCTTTATATCTATCTATCTATGTATCTATCTATCTATCTATCTATCTATCTCCGTCTGTTGATATCCCTCTATTCTCATCTATTAATTCATCTATCTATCTATCTATCTATCTATCTATCTATCTATCTATCGTCCTCGCGTTAAGAAGATGCATGACATATATCAACATCGTCTTATTTAATACGGTCTAAAGGCTTCGTCGCTTTGTGGCACGTGGCTGCTCGCGACTTGGGCTACAGTCAGTGAATTCGCAATGAATAATCAGCATCATATAAATACCAACAACTATTAATGACACTTTCCCACACACACACACGCAATGGTGGCAGCCAAGAGGAATGAAATCAAATGGGTCCATGTGTCAGGTTGTACGAAGACCCATTCCCGCCCGGCCATCCAAGCTGCTCTATTTTATAATGTATGCAGGCAGCAGTGCGAGAGCATTAGTCTCTGACAACACAACATCACCACGTAGCCATTTCACGTGAGACAACAAACTAAATCTACATAAGAATATTATAAAAAATATACAACACGAGTTGACAATAGCAAAAAAAAAATAGATTAATTATTACAAAAAATTTAAAACCTCTAACCTTATAGTTAAAAATAATAATTCACCTCTGAGAAGAAAATTAAATAGAACAAATATTATTTACGAATTTATGTTAAAGAATTTTATTCCTGATCAATCAAAATTTGTAATTAATTATATAGGCCAAACTACAACATGTTTGACACGAAGGCTCGCACTACATTTTTCTGACCATAGATCAATTAGGTCTCATTTAAATATTCATGGAGACCTACCGGACACAATTCGTAACATACTTGTTGACAACACTAATATAATAGCATCATCTATATGCAAAAAAAGGTTAAAAATAATGGAAGACTTATTAATAAAAACAAAAAATATATTTCAACCTTGAAATGGATAAATGTTTAGCCGAAATATATATATATATATATATATATGCGTGTGTGTGTGTGTGTGTATGTGTGTGTGTGTGTGTGTGTGTGTGTGTGTGTGTAAAAGAATAAATCCTGAAGCTTGAATATGCCAATTGCATGGAAGGTTGATTTTATATATATATATATATATATATATATATATATATATATATATATATATATATATATATATATCATAAAGATAAATTTATGCAAAGAATTAAATAGCAATGCTAAAGTGATTAATGACGAAATCTCTTCGATAACAGGATTTAATGAGACATTAACTTACTATCAATCCCTTGAATAATAAGATGTGGAAAACTACTAAGGCATTTTACTCTGTTTATTGGATTATACTAAGTCTATTTCACTTCAACAGATATATACATATAGGAAGAAAATTTCTTGGATTTCTGACTTTGCAAAATTCAAACAAATTTCTCACTTGATCGATTTTAACAAGATCTCTAGCCTCGCAGCATCGCACGCAGCAAAACATATATTCAACTCTTAATAAATAGTATAATAAAAAAATGACATCTTTCGGTCTACGCATATTTCGTCTAAGTGTTTTCCGATGTATGGGAAAATTGCGCCTTGAAGAAGACAATTTGAAATTGTCGAAAGTAATTGGCATGTGTTTTCCACCTGACAATTCGAATATAAGGATGTTGCTATTCAAGGAATTGATAGTAAGTTAATGTCTCATTAAGTTCTGTTAGTGAAGTGACTTCGCCAATAATCACATTAACACTCCTATTTAATTCTTTGTATAAATTGTTTCCTTAAGATCTAAAATATAAGGTGCACAACATAACATACATACATACATATATATATATATATATATATATATATATATATATATATATATATATATATATATAATTGGAGTAGATTGTTTTGCCTCTCCTCTGATTCACAGAATTGTGTTTCCGTTTCCTTCGAAAGTTTTCTCGTTCTTTTTTATTCCCAGTAATACCTTCCGTCTTAGTGTCATTATCGAATTATTCGGGATGAATTGATATAAAAATATTGACGTCTAAGATCACACATTTTAATCATGTGATCTCTACTTTATCGTTATTTCCATGGCAAATGTTTAGATGAGCACCACTTTTTAGTTCCATTAGTTCAGACGATTAAATCATAACAGCAGCCATACTACATTCACAGTGTCGAATAATCATCATCGTCAACATCTCATGTTGGGAGTTGCTGGCTGGTCATATTAAATGTCTTGAAAATCAAACTAGTGCCGGTCTATCATCATCGATCAGACCTTTAATTTTCGCCTATCGCAATGGGTGGGTGTTCTCTCAGGGATACCCCTTTGCTTTCAACACTTATTGGGGCTTAAATTTCTCAAGTGGTACTCGAAATTTTTGTACAATATCAATTTTTATAACTCGTAAATAAATTTTGGAATAACCGAAATTAATTGCAAAATCCAGCGAAAGTCGCCCATGAAATAATTTTTTTTTATCAGTATCGCTCTATATTTCTGAGATGAGGTATTATGTACAGTATTTACATTATTCGGACTATTGTCCTCATCTTTGTCGCCATATTTATTACAACGTTTCGGCCGTTGTACGCTCCGGCCTTCTTCAGGTGGTTGGAATGTCGAACTGAACCCTTTTATTTCGCTCACTGGGGTAGACTTTTCTAGTTCCACGTACCATGTTTAATGGATGTCATTGTCCTCAAGGACACATGGCATAGTGGATAAAGGCGTTGGTTAGATCCAGTAAGTGAAACCCAAAGAGTGTGAGTTTCATACCTGGTTAAGGCGATGGAGAACTTGGAGAGGGGAATTAACAGGAGGAAACTGATAACTGACATTAAATTAATTGGCGGCATAATTATTGTTGAACTTTTAAAAGGTAAGGTTCAATAGTAAAGCAATACTTAAATGCAGAAGTCAATTTTGAATTCTTCTATAGTTTATTGTTTCCTGTCGACTCTACGCTTCCCTACATATTGTGATAAAGGCCCAATCTTGAGCCCTCAGCATGATCAAACTTAAACGCTGCTCGATAGGGTGGTTTTTAAGCTTGTTTAAATTTTATAAATGTACTTCTTTAAATGGTGTCATGATACTCAACTAAGGCAATAATGTTGGGCATCTATATAATTATACACGAATTGTTATGTGTTTATCGGTTTAAATTAAAAAAAAAAACTCTCACTAGGCAGAATATAAATTTAGAGTTATTCTTGTTTGAAATACTATAAGATGATGAATGCGTGTTCTCTCGGTGAGGCTCCATGCTTTAAGCATCTCTTGGGACTTAAACATGACCTAACCTCAAGCGAAACTCGAACATATGATCCTCTGTTAAAGATGCTGGAAAAATGGTCAGTTAGCTCTACCGCTCCAGTCCTGACACCAATCGACATTTCCAGTTGCCTTGATCTATCCACTATCCTTCTCCTCATCCTTTCCTCTATCACTCCTATCTGATCTTGCTCCAAATCTTATGTAACCCCTTGCATCCTAGTGGCTTCCCGCCTTGCTTGGGGTGAAACGCTTAAAAAAAAAAAATTGCTATCCACTACAATTCCAGGGTGGAAGGTATTTGTCTTAAAGGGAAGAAGTTTTATAAAATTAGACAGGAATATTAACCTTATGACATTAATTTGGCGTTATATGAAGAATGAAATATTAATTTAAATTTAAAAGAAAAAAAAATTCAGATATAAATATCTGTCTATACCCCTGAGATGAGGTATTATCATTAATTACTTCATTGCCATATTCAAACGTTTCGACCGGATGACTGGAATTTCGAATCGAACAGTTTTGTCCACCGGAGTTCGAAATTCCAATCACCTGAAGAAGGCTGGAGCGTACAACGGCCGAGACGTTGTAAATATGGCAATGAAACTGAGAATGACAGTCTGAATAATGTAAATAATATAAGTATAAATAAAATATATACGTATTTTTTCTTTTCTAACGTGTTTCGTCCTGAGATATTTTTATCAAGGTAAATGTGGAGGATTTTATTTTGCAATTTCTGTTTATGAATACAACTTGCAAAATAAAATCCTTAAATTTACTTTGATGACGTCTCCCAGGGGACGAATCTCGTTGGTAAAGAAACACTTCCTTTTATCTATCTATCTATCTATCTATCTCTCTCTCTCTCTCTCTCTCTATATATATATATATATATATATATATATATATATATATATATATATATATTCTCCCGTCGTTTTCATCGTATGAGTGTCTTTCGTCGTTTTTTATTTTTGTTTTGCATCGTAATCATGAGTGTCTTTCAGTTCAACCAAGACTAAAAAACTTTTTGTCCATTTGTTTTTCATTAAGACAACAATCATGTCTGCGGAAAGACCTAAGGCAGGTCGTGGTGTGTTTTATGCAAACTCCGATGAAGTTATCATAGACTCCTCAGGATGACTGGCAAGACAATTTTCTGTATGTCTCTTAAACTTTCAATGTCCTGTCCATTTTTATTATTATTATTATTATTATTATTATTATTATTATTTTCCGTTGATTTCTGGCGTTTGCACATTTCTTTCCGGGTCCCACCCAGGGCCCAGGGCCCAGGGACCTAAGTTTAGAACTGGCATCATAACACTTTCCACTGAAAAAAATACATAGACAAACCCCTTCGTAAAGTGTGGGCTTTACTTGTCGGAACTTTTTTTGTATCTCTTTGAGGCATGGACTTCCAGGAATCCTTTCAATTTGTCTACTGGAATCTTTTCCAACCAATCCGAGGGCTCCAACTACAACAGGGATTGTTGATGTTTCCATGTGCCACATTTTTGACATTTCTATTTCAAGGTCCTTGTATTTTGGTAGCTTTTTGAATATCTTCAACGATACATTGCAGTCTGCAGTGACTGCCATATCATTAAGGAGGCACATTTTTGTTTGTGGTCTCTAATAACAATATTGTTATCATTATTATTATTATTATTATTATTATTCGTGTTTCTTCATTCTCTAGTTAGCATGCACGTCATGTCCTGTTAGTACCTTGTAAATAATGTGCTATTTCGTTTTGATTACAGGGAAAGTCAGAAAAAACATATCAGGGTCGCTGTTTGTATTATGTGAGACATAAGAAAGTAAGAGAGAGAGAGAGAGAGAGAGAGAGAGAGAGAGAGTGAAAGAGGAGAGAGAGAGGAGAGAGTAGGGAG